AATTAGAAAAAGTTAATGAATGTAAAAAAGATAAAATATATTATAAATTACCTGCTCTCAATCTTTGTAGCTATTCATTATTTTGAATTAATAATATTAAAACATAATTAATAATATTCAAACATAATTAATAATATTAAAACATAATTAATATTATTAATTATTATCATAATCTGTCATTTCACTTTCGGGTAATTTTGTTGAGGCATTGCTACACATATCATCTATTAAATTAGAATATCTTTATTCATCATTTGTAATATGAAATGCCTGTTCAAAATTGATATGAAACATTTTGTTAATGTCTTTAGCGTTCATATTCACGTAGAAAAAAGAATATGGAGCAAAATTAACGGCTTGATGATACATATCTAATAATTGCTGTTTGTCAACAATGGCGCTATTCTCTTCAATAAAACTCATTAATTCACTGGCATTTTTCAACCTAAAAATATATAATGAACTGGCATTTAAACGAATGATAGGCGCTAAAACATTATATTTTTGTGTTGAACAAATTACACTTACTGCATCGTGCCTACCTCTTGTAAAAAGCCCGTGTAATAATTTACTATATCTAACAAATTTAGGGTCGTCTGCGTGGTCATCTATCACGATTAATATTGAATGCAGTTTCTTTATCTTTTTAGACTTCATATAATTAATTATTTTCTTCTGTCTTTCAATTACATTTTCTAAATCTGCTGGATTGTAATTGTCAAAATATATTTGTTCTTTTTCATCATCTACATGTAGTTCATCCCTAATATACATTTTTTAACTTCTGCAAAGGTTGGATCATTATGAACACTGGGCGAAAATATATATATTCTTGCAAATGAATTTCTATAAACATTCAATATTACATTTTGAATAAGGACAGTCTTGCCGCCTGTCGAAGAAGCAACTATAATACTTCTAAATGGTAATTTTGGCACGTGCTCATATTTGGATTGCTTGAATTCATAATCAGTTATGTTTATTGGTTTTATTATTGGAACTTCTGACATATAGTTAATATTAAAGATATTTAGAAAATTATATTTAAAAATTAACTTGTAATTAATATTAAATGGAACATCTTTTTTTATGATATGCTGGCAGTGAATACCATAAAAAATGGAACCGGCTTTCCATTGTTTCAATCAATAAGCATTGAAGCTAATTAGTTTGATGCATTGTAAAGAAAACCCCAGTCGCTGTGCCCTCCGAAATATTCTAACATGCATGAATATAATAAGATTAAATAATTATTTTATCTTATTATTTAATATGAAAAGAACTTATTCAGATTATATCAATATAATAAATGAAGTAGAGAATATAGAACAAGTAATAATAACTGATAATAAAATTAAAAAATGTTGTTATTATTCATTGGAATTAATTAAGCTAGGAATACGATATATCAAAAATAAAAATGTAAATATTAATATAAATCCCAAGGAAGAAAAACAAAAAGAATAAACCAGAGACTACAGTTTCTTCGACAGATGGAGACAGTGAAGAAGTTATTAATAAAACAGCAGTTATTGAGTTTGCTTGTCCTATGTGTAAAAAGATGTTGGAATTAAAAAATGAATTACAAATAGAAAGGAAAGGAAACTGTAAATGTTCGTGCATACCAGTCGGGTTTAAAATAAGTAAAACAGATAAAAAAATGAATATTGATAAAACTAAAGATGGCGATATTAACTTAGAAACAGATGCACACAATATTGCTATACGATTTGGTCGGGGAGTTACCCCATCCGATAATGGAGAAAACGAAACACAGGAAACCATTAAAGAGATGTTGAAAAATTAGTATTTTAAAGAGTAGTTTTAACATAAATGCACTTTATAAATAAATAAATAATTAAATAAATAATTATCTAAATAAATATATAGTAATGTCTGAAAATGAGAATTGTACTATTAACGATTTAATGAAGAAGATAACATTAATTGGTAAAAATATTAAAACCTTAAATGATATGATTCAATCCATTGATGAAAAACTTAAACCAGTTGAACGCGAACAAAGCACCGAAGAGAAGGAGAAGATTGAGAAAATATTTGAGAAGAAAGGGATAGGCAGACCTAGCGGTGATTATGATACCAAGCGTAAAAAATACTGCGATATGTTAAATAAGGGACAAATCAAAAGTCCAAAAGAACAAACATTAGAATATTATAAACTAATTAAGGGCGATGATGATAAATATGTAATGGTTGAAAATTAAAATCTAGATAATTCTAATATTATGAATTTATTAGAATTATTTAGCGGAACAAAAAGCGTCGGAACCATAGCAAAGTCGCTTGGATTTAATGTCATCTCATTAGACTTGAAAAATGCTGATATCAACACTGATATTTTGGAGTGGGATTACAAACAGTTTGACAGAAACCACTTTGATTTTATTTGGAGTAGTCCCCCATGCACTGAATACAGTAGAGCAAAAACTAGAGGAATTAGGAATATCGAATATGCAAATAGTATTGTCTTAAAATCTATTGAGATTATCAAATATTTCAATCCTAAATATTTTGTAATCGAAAATCCTCAAACTGGATTATTAAAAAATCAGGAGTTTATGGATGAGTTTGATTTTAAAGATGTGGATTACTGTAAATATGGAATGCCTTACAGAAAGAGAACTAGGCTTTGGAATAACATTACAACTTGGAAACCTAGAGAATTATGTAAAAAGGATTGTGGTAACGTCAGGAATAATAAACATATTGAAACAGCACAACGGCTACCGTCAAAAACCAAAGCAGAATGGGGTGACAATCCAGTATTTCATAAACAGGAAGACCTATATAAAATACCTAGTGGTTTGATATTGGACATTTTGATGAGTTTGACGGATTAAGGATTTTGAGTTTGGGGTTGGACTTGAAACTTGAAATTTCTAGGTTCATCCAACGACGCCCCAGAAAAAGAAAAAAAACACCCCCCTAACCAAGTCCTTACCTAGTAGGGCTCGGTCTCAAAAGTTGAGAAATTCTGCTCAAAAGTTGAGAAATTCTGCTCAAAAGTTGAGAAATTCTGCTCAAAAGTTGAGAAATTCTGCTCAAAAGTTGAGAAATTCTGCTCACAAGTAGAGAAATTCTGCTCAAAAGTTGAGAAATTCTGCTCAAAAGTTGAGAAAGTCTGCTCAAAAGTTGAGAAATTCTGCTCAAAAGTTGAGAAATTCTGCTCAAAAGTTGAGAAATTCTGCTCAAAAGTTGAGAAAGTCTGCTCAAAAGTTGAGAAAGTCTGCTCAAAAGTTGAGTAAAGATTACAAAGGATTATTTAAATACTAATGACTGAAATTATAACCATACTATAATAATAACATTTATACCCTTATATGTTATAATTATAATGTAAGTATAGCGTTTTATATAATGAAGATTAAATCCTACAAGGGACACCACGCCTATTAAAATTGTATGATAAAACTGATGAAACGAAGGGCACAAAACTACCTTAAAGGATTGTAGGCATTATATGTATATGGAGGAAAGTGTATTGAAACATTGTTCAAGATGTAATAAGTCAAAGAATTTGGATGAATTCACTGAACTTAGAAAATTATGTAATGAATGTATTGAAGATAAAAGGGAATATCACAGATGTAAAAGGGCTGGAATTGAAAGAGTGAAGGAAGTAAAAGAACCTACTATAAAATACAAACTAAGAAATTATTATTGCGAAGTCTGTGAATATGAATTGAGACTGTGCAAGAAGAAAGGACACGAACAAACATTATACCATCAAGACAGATTAAGAAGAAAGGAACATCCAGAAGAATTTGAAAATGAAGAAAAGCCAGACAGAACATATTTTGAAAATGGTAAGGAGTATTTTATATGCAATAAGTGTAAACGCGGGGTTATGTCTTCTCTATGGGCTAGGCACTGTGCGTCGCTAGACCATTTGGGGAAAAAGTCTTTAAGGAGCACCACGCCTAATTTTTGATGTGAAGGATGGAAGGCATTTAAAGACATGACAATATATAATAATAAGTATGGAAGGAATTAAAAGATGTGGCAGATGTAAAAAGGAAAAGGCGGTTGATGAATTTGATGAAGGGAAAAAGTTATGTAAGTCTTGCTTGGTTAAGTGCGCAGAATACCAGAAAAACAACCCCGAGAAAATGAATGCAAAATGTAAGAGATACTATGACAGGAAAAAGGAAGATATACTCGCAAAGAAGAAAGAGAAAGTATGGTGCGAAGCTTGTAGAACAGAAATAGTTAAAAGCGGATGGGATGACCATGTATCAACATACAAGCATCAGTATTATTTAAGTTTAGAACCAGGCGAAGTCATTGAAGATAAACATAAATGGTGGTGCGATGTTTGTAGAGTTTCTTTATTCAAAAAATCAAAGTCCGACCACAAGAAAAGCAAAAGGCACCAAGCATTAGAGAAGGCAGAGCCATATAATGAAGAAGCATAAGGGAACCTGAAGTATTTAATACAATATATGTTCATGTATTGTATCATTTATTGGTTAGGAGTGATGATTTTAATATTACACGAGACGAAGGATAAGAACTGATAAACATTTGGAGGGATATATGTAGCGAAGTATGAAGCGGTGAGACAGGGCTAAGAAGTGATAAAAAGTTTGGGCGGATATATGTAGCGAAGTATGAAGCGGGAGTGGCCCTTGTCTACTGCCAAATGGCAGTTTCCGGTGTTTGGGTTGCTCTTTATCTCGATACGACAAGGCAGGCGGCATTGTTCGCTATTGAAGGGGCCTGTGACCCACGTGGAGCCCCACATAGTGCAGCATGCAGGTAAGCTGATGCTTCGGGCTTGGCTTTTAGGGTTTAGGTTAGGGTTTGGGCTTTAGGGTTTAGGTCCAGGGGGTTAGGCTGATCAGGAGTAGGCACGGGCGACGAAAGGGTGCGACCTGTTTCGGTCCGAAAAGTTCGATTGGCGGCAGAAATGGGAGGGCTGTGGACAGTCCCAACCAGTGTGGATCGCCGATCCGCCGGATTTGATGGGGGCGTGCCAGGAGTTTTGTGGCAGTTGGCGGACCAGCCTACAAGAGCTGGCATCCAAGTTGACGGACATTTGGCCAGCGCCTTAGAGCCTTTCTGCAGGTTCAAGCGGATACAATGGTCCTTGTCAAACTGCCGCAAATCGGATATGGAAGCTCTAAAAGTGGTGACAGTTTCCTTTTCGACCCAGAAAAAGGGGCAGAAGGACCATGCGATGCAAGCGCTTTTGATGCGAACCAGGACGGATATCAGAAACGCATCAACTGGCTGCACCGCACAGCCGCAGATTGTCCGAAGCTGAGACGCTGCTGAGATGGCTGTTGCTTGCGCATGTTCCATGCAAATCATGATGCACCATTCACATGTCCTTGGGGATCAGGCATCAATATGGTACCCTTCTCACCTTTTGCCAAAAAGAAAGTCACCGCGTTGGGTCCCCGATTTTGCCACCCATGTTGTTCAGGCTGTGGAGAGATCCAAATCTGTGCATCTGCCTGGTGCAGTGATTGCCTGAGTGCTCTCGATCGGGAGTCACGTAAGTCGTGTGTCGAGTCGTGTGTTGAGATGTGTGCGCCCCGAGCATTTTAAAGAGTAACAATCAGCTGGCGCATGTTTTGCCCCAATTGTGGATTTCCCAGCCATTACCCATTTCCTGGTAAATCTCCAAATGTGTGCTAACTGTACCTATTGGTTGGGTATGCTAACTGATTGTTACTCACTACTCACTATATCCTCCATTGGTGCAGCTTCTTCCCCAGACATTCCATCCTCATTTTGTGTTTGGTTTCTCAACCCCCACTCAAAATGCCAAAGCCCCCTTTTTCTAACAGGGTTACTGGGGAAGTGGGTTGGGGAATCCCCTTTGCCTATTAAGCTAGGAAAATGCAAAGAAGCAACTCCCGCTCAACATCGTGAACAGTGTAAGCTTGTGGCTGCTGTTTTGCAGAGCGTCTTTGAGTCCTGCAATTTTGCTGCCCCCCAGCTCTGGTCAACAAAAGACATGGATGTCACTTCAGCTTTGACAAGCATCGTTGTCTGCAGCCTTATGCTCAAGCAAGCCGCGCTGGCTCCCATTTCCCATTAAGCCGTCTTCGATTTGATTCGAGGAACATCTTGATGATCATGAGGGCCTTTTTCAGACACTTGAACGACCCCCCCAAACAACTCTTGAAAACGTGTTGACTTTCGCTCTGCGCCAAAAAACAAAAACGCCATGGCTCGCTAGGAACGTGATGCAGGTGGACCTGTGTTTGCTCAGTGGACGGCATACGACCTTAAGCGCCGCAGCGTCTTCCAGTGTCGGGGACTTGGCACGTGCGGCGCAGAAGGACTTGGACCTGGGCTTCTTGAGCCTGATCTCAGGAGCGAAAGCCGGTTGGCTTCTTTCCTTAAACAGGTGTCCTTTGTTTTTGGAAATTCGGTGGAACTTTTTTGGGGGTTGGTTCTTTGTGTGCGACCAAAACCAATTTCTGCCCCTGGCTAGGGGGCAAGGTCTTGGACCCTGCCCTCTCCTTGCAGGAGGCTGGCCTGAAGGACTCGCTTTCGCTTGCGCCGGTTTTCGGAGGGGGAGGGGCATGCCTTCCCGTCCGGCTCCTTGGGCTTGGACAAAATCATACAAAACGCGCCAGGGATGGATGAAAACCGATGAATGGGACGCACCTACAGGTGCATAATTTGGTCCGTCGACAGGGATGTTCATGGACTTCTTGCAGAATTTGGCTGCAACCATTGTAAGGAGTCCGATTGACAGAACCACCATGGCTCAATGCCTTGTCGTGCAAAAGATGGGGATCAACTGCCAATGGGCCCGGTTCAGTACTGGTAAAGCGACACTTCTCAAGAACCACCCTGATTTACTGATTTACTTTGTTTTGACTGTTTTCGCCCGGGTTTTGGATGACCCTCGAGGACGGCGAGACCTTGACTGCGATCCCGCAGCCGGCCAAGCTGGCGGCCACCAGTGGCGCCTTCGCCTTGATTCGGAGCAACGGCACAGTGGTCGCCCGGCTGCTTTTTGGTGAACTGGGTACCCATGGTACCCCATGTTTTTTCTTGTTTTTTGCATGCTGTTCTTTTTGTGTGCCCTTATGGGGCGTGAAAGAAGTGAAACCCGAGACTTTTCCATGGCCCCTTCAGTTCTCAAAGGTAGAGAACTGCTGGGACCGAAATTCTACTCTTGTAAAAAGGCCGAGTCTGGAGCAACCAGTATAGGGGGTTCCCCAAGACTCCGTGGTTTCCTTTTGGCTTCAATGCCGATGGTTCTGAGTAGAGGAAAGAACATAGCTTGTTTAAATTGGAAAAAGACGGTTTCCCCAGCAAAACTGATCCACTTGTTGCAACGCTCGGTTGGACCAGGTCACTTGGGGAGATCCTAAGCATGGCGGTGATAGCAGCGAGGTGCAACATGACTTGCACAGTGTCCAGCAGATTCAGTCAACTCAGACTGCTTTTGCTGCCCTGCGCACGGACGGGACTGTCATTTCGTGGGGTGACGATTTTGGTGGTGGCGACTCATTTGATGTCCAACAACAGCTGCGGAATGTCAGAGAGATTCAGGCGGGGTTGGGCAAATTCTTGTAGCAAGCAGACCCGATAGCCCCTTTAAAAGAGACACCAAAAGAAGCCCTTTCAAACAATGGTCCAATGCTCAACAAATTGGTCCAACCCTAAGGCAGCTGACCAAGCTTTTACTGCAATTTGTACTGATGGAGATGCGGTTGCTTGGGGAGGCATTTTGAGCGGAGGCGACTGCGACTGCGACTGCAAGCACGTTTGCCAAGTTCAGGCGACTAGCGGGGCCTTTGCCGCAAAATTGGCCGATGGCAGAGTGCAAGTCTGGGGTGATGCTTTCGCTGGTGGTGTGGATGAATATCCTGATCGGCTGACGGGGGTTGAAAAGATCCAGTCTACTCAGTCAGCATTTGCTGCCATTCGGACAGATGGCACAGTGATTGCCTGGGGAGACTGGGAATGTGGAGGGAACATCGAGCAAGTGAAAGACAGCCTGGTGAACGTTCAGCAGCTTGCATCCTCACAGCGGGCGTTTGCAGCCATTCGCAGGGATGGATTGGTGGTTACCTGGGGTGACCCAGAATGTGGAGGAGACAGCAGCAGAGTGCACAGCTTACTGACGAAGGTGCAGCGGATTCAGTCAACATTGAGTGCCTTTGCAGCCATCCGAGAAGATGGCACGGTGGTTACTTGGGGTGATTCAGCTGGTGGTGGTGACAGCGCTTTGGTGCAGAGGCATTTGAGCAACATCCAGGACATTCAGGCAACCACCTCTGCCTTCGCTGCCCTTCGACAGGATGGCGAAGTTGTTACCTGGGGAAGCAGAGAAAAAGGAGATGACTGTAATGCTCGCTTGAAAGATGTCCGTCACATTCAAGCTGCGCTCAATGCCTTTGCCGCAATCCGGGCAGATGGCCGAGTTGT